GTCCCGTGTTCAGGGGTGACTTAATTGCAATTTGGGTAATGCTGCATCATGAGACATGTACACTGATTTTAGGTCATACGTCCTCATTTAAAAAATTTTTTTTTAAAGATTTATTTATTTATGCATACAAGAACTGGGGTACAGGCCAGAGGTGAAGGGGATGAGAGGATTTACCAGAGACAGAGTGGGGAGCAGAATGGGAGGATCTGCTGAAATGCACTGCTGAGGGGAGCAGCAGCGGGCAAGACAGGAGAGGTCTGCTGCACCATGTGGGTAGCTCCCCGGCCCGGGATTGAACTCCTGCTGCAGTGGCTGCGGATAGCTTCATAGGTTGCGTCTTAACCCCTCCCGCCACCAGGGAGGCCCTGACATGTATTTTATGCCCTAAAGTCCCTGTCAACATAGGGACTCCCTTCCTCCCTTTCTTGGTTCTTCCTCTCTCTCACCTGTTAGTCTTCTTCCCTCTTCAGTCTCTTGCATACAAATTCCCCTCTTAGTGTTGACCTGGACAGCCTGACCTAAGACACAACTGTGTATCTGACATTTGCCTGCCCCTCTGGAGTCCTGCATCCTGTCCTTTGCTCCATGTGGTTGGTTTATCCCCCTAACCAGACTATGAGTGTGGAAACATCCAGCTTGGAATTCTGAGAGATCTCAAAAACAGTCAAATAGCACATGAGCCAGATGGATCTCTGAGGTTAATTCCTTAGCCTTTCCGGAGCAATTTCATTGTAAAGTGGGGAGAGCGAAAGGGAGTGTTGCTGGGCGAGGTCACATCCATCAAACACTAGCACCAAGCCTGGGCCGAGTGCCCCATGTGGTGGGTGTCACTGCTGGCATCCAACACCTGGCCTCACCTTGGCTCCTGGTTGGGGGCCAGCTGGGCCCCATCATTGGGGTTCAGAAACAAGGTCCCTTCCATTGGATGTTCTTGTCAAAGCAGAGCCAAGCCAAGTGTTCAGTGCACTCTAAGGACATATTAAATGTAGTAAAAAAAAATTTTTTTTTGGTATGAAATTGAAGAGAATGTTGTTGGAGAGAACACTAGCCTGCCGCCATCACAAAGACCATTTCAGGATTTTGCTGCAACATGCCCTGCTGGCCAGCCTGCTCTCTCTCAGCCCCCCTTTCATTTGGGAGACAACTTTGCTAAAGCATTTCACAAGCACTGTGGGGTGGGGGAGGGAGGAAGGAAGGAGGGAGAGAGACAACAAAATGTGGCAAATGGGGAGAGAAGCGCCTCTGTGGCATTCCCCAGGCACCCACATTAAGGGCCTGATTAACTTAAAATATTTCCCAGCTTCTGAAGCACTTGATTAAAGTCAATTGGGGGGAAAGAAGATAAGCTCTACAAGGGCTAATTTGAGGCTTAGAAAACTTGAATATGTCTAAATCTCAAAGGGTTGGTGAAGTGATGCCCAGTAGTTGCTGGGTCTCAGGGGGCACTTTAACATTCTGGAAGAGGATCTGGGGTGCCCCCCATCCGCCACCACAGCTCCCTGGCCCACCCTTCCCCTTTATGCCCACCTGGCTTGGGAAACTTGCTCTCCCTCCCACCTTCTCTTTTCTTCCACTTGCGAGGGCTTAGATGATTTTCCCTTTTGAAGACCCAGAAATACATGACTTTGGATTCAGAACACAGCTACTGTTGCCTTCTTCCTCCCCTAGATGCCTGCAAAAATCAAAGTGGGGCTTTATTGCTGAGGTCCCCTGGCGTCCTCTTGATGTGTTAATGGGTCACACTTGCTGCCCCGCTGTCCCTGCTGCCAGGGACACTATTATATGGGCAGATCTCTTCCTTCCCCTCAGATCGGGTGGCAGGCGCCAGGCAGGGAGCAGTTGGTTTTCCAGTCAGGAACCATGCCAGGCTAACTTTTGATCTTTGACAGGGAATTTCCTGCAAAGATGTAGACAGAGAGGGGCTCACATCAGGCTGCCCTGCCGAGCTGCAGTGGGAGGAGCCTCTCATTGCCACTGCAGGGCCAGCGAGTTTTCTGCAGATGCATCAGGCTGGGCTCAACACCACACCCTGTACTAGCTCACGCCCCTGCCAGGGGTCTCACCTGGCATGACTGCTTCTCCGCTCAGGGACGCACAAAGCTGATTCAAGGTGACATCTGGGCTGAGTCAGAGTCTGGGAGCTGGGGGAGAAATTGGATGCGAGAGCATTCAGAGAACTGGCAGAGTTCAGCTCCTTGTGGGTGGAGGGCTGGGGTCCTGTTTCCTTTCTGGTAACCTCTGGGGGAATCTCTGGGCAATTAAGACTGTTTGCATTTCCTGTCAAGTGGCTGCCTGCAGCTTCCAACCAGCAAAGCCAGGTCAAATCCTCTTGTGCTTTGAATCTCACAGATGGCCTCTTCTGTTACTAGTGGAAGAAAGCTCTGCTTTTAAGTATTCACTGTATGGGTGAAACCCACCTGATAATCTGTTTTTAAGGTCATTTGACCTGAGTCTTGATTTACGTCTGAACAGTCCCTCATGGTAGTGCTTGGATTAGTGTTTGATGGATTAACTTGAGGGTGGGAATCTTGGGGGAGGGGGAGATTCTCCCTATGACTGTGATCTGGTTATGGCCAGGGAACCCAGTCTCCCCCTTCCATTCTGTCTGGTCCCAAGGGAGGGAGGAAGGTACCAGGGAAACTTGGTGAATGGGAACAGAGCTACCAGCTTCTCATTCTCAGCAGCGTCTGCACAGTAGTTCAAAGAAGAACTGCGAGGAGGTAGGCAAGGTGGCAAGTTTTGAGATGGCAAGGTGGCAAGCTCTTTTGCAATCATCATTTCTTTTCTTTTCTTCCATGGCCCCCCAAAGGACCAAATAGGAGCTCTCCACAGTGCACACAGAAAATCATGGCTACTTTTTATAAAACTTAACATTGAAAGGCATCATTATTTCATATTTATTGTATAAATGTATTAAAATGAAGAATTGGTGACCTCCAATCCCATGTGGCATTTTGCAAGCAATGCTTGCTCAGTCTTCCAAAACCCTTCAGACATCTTTGATGTCACAGCCATCTCCCTAAACAGTGGTTCTGGATTTGAAGTCTCAAAGCACATTTCTGTTCATTCCTCCAACACTTCACCTGCACGCTGTCTGGGGTCTGACCGAGGGACTCCCTGTTTTGGCAAATGTGACCCGGGAGTACAACGCAGTGGGTGATGGAGGAGCAGACACAGCCCGGAATCATTGTGTTTGGGACTGTGGTTTTCACTGAGCTCCTTTATTCCCAGGAAGCAGGTAGTGAGGGTATAAGATCTCCTTCTCCTTCCCTTCTCTCCATTTCAGCATTATTGTGCTTAGCAAGGAATTCATTTTTACACAGACATACCAATCAACAAGTACAGGCTTCTTGCTGTTGAATTGAGGCTTCTTCCTATTCTGGTTCAGAATTAGAATAGTTTGAAAAAAGGAGGCACAGCTAGAGGATCCTTACTTTCGGGATATTGAAATGTATTATGAGAAGAGCAATTAAAGTAGTTTGGCACTGGTGTGAGAAACCACCAACAGATCAATGGAATAGATACTCCTGTAAACTCAAACTTGGTATAGATTGACAAGGCTTCAGAATGAAAACTGAGGCATGTAGTTCAACAAATTATATTTGAAATTTTGCTATTGGAAAGGAATATCAAATCAGATAGATCCTCATCTTTTACCAAATCCCCCAAATATTAAAAATTGAACCATCTCCCACTCAATATACTCTATACAATTTAAAGACCAGCAACAAACTATGTAAACTCCCCACACCTTTGTCAGGTAAAGCTTCAAAATCTTTACTATAAACCAAGAGGTCTTGTACAACATGAAAAACTAGCAAAGGAACCACAGGTCAAGTCCCAGTAACTGTCATTTTAGCAAATAATCAGGAGAACAAATGCCTGCAGACAGCTGTGCTCCCTGCAGTACACCACCTAGAAGAACAAAATGTTGCCAAAATACCTCAGAGATAGTCAACCAGTGGGGGGTGGTTGAACAAGCTGACATAAGTTTCCACGTTTCTGGGCAGTGGTATTCCATGATGGGATCCAATGTGAAGTTTCATTTTTAAACAATGTACAACTCAGTTTGTTCTATAAAAGTCCCTGCTTGTGCCCTGCACACACAAGGCTAACAGTGGAACTCAGCGTGATGAAATCAGAGACTACTTCTGCATTTTATTTTATATTTTGTTTGTTTTCCAACTTTCCATGTAAGTTATTTTAATGAATCAATAATTGTTATGTTGGTGTCTAAAACGCTGAGGACACCATGGGAGTGAGTAGTTACAGGCAGTGTTTATTAGAAAAAAATCACAATATTGTAAAGATTTAACTCCTCTTTAGTCTATTAATAAATCTGTCTATGAACCCAATGAATTGCAATGAAAACATTAAGGGTTTCACTTTCAAAATGTGACAAAAGGATTTGAAAGTTACCTGGGAAGGTAAGGAATGTGCAAAAAGAGGGACATTTCTGTAAAAAATAGTAATAAAGGGAGAGTGGTGCCAGCAGATCTTCAACTTTATCATAAAACTGCAATAATCAGAATGCTTGGTTTCAGGAACAAATCAACAGGATGGATCCCCCAGATATACTAACAACACCCAAAGAAATTTTAGCACAAGTTGAAAAACCCCAAAACTTCAAATAAAGTCTTGGAGTCAGAAAGATGAATTATTTCACAAATGGGACTGTTGGTTAGTCATTTTGCAAAAAATAATAGGAAATTAAATTGGCATTTCTTTGAACTCTTAGGTCAAGATGGTGCCTTTCCTGGGTGAGAGCCCAGCAGGGCTGCCCAACAGGATTAGACTAGCGCCCCTGCTGTACCTCTGAAGTCCTACAAGACCTGACCTTCCATCTGCCACACCGTGCAAGCTCACTCCTCTGTGGGCTCAGGGAGCTCCTTCTACTCCTCCCCTGGTGCTCCCCTGCTCGGTGCTCTTCCCAGGCTCTTCCATGGCGGCCTTCTCATTGAGCTCAGCCATTTCCTCCTTAGCGGACACTCCCTTTCCTGTCTGCTTTCACTTTCACCTGCTTTCTTTTCTCCATAGAATGCTTGCCATTCTCTAAAATCATTTATCCCTCCGTTGGCATTTCGTGGTGGGTCCGTCATCCTGACACTGGAGTGCAGCTGTCTTCTCTGTCTTGCTGTTCACCACTGCAACCTGGGTGCCAGGACCAAAGAGGGCTCAGTGAATAGGCTCCTCAATGAGTGACCTCAGGCATGAGTAGGAAATGGGAGGTAAGTACCTTTGTAAGCTGCCCAGAGAAATGAAAAGCCATAGGGGAAGGAGATGAAAAATCTGAGTGAATCCAAGTATTAAATAACTAGCGGAGACCGACAGTGTTTCGGTTCACTGAAAGTGCTGGGGCTGCAATGGTGAGCCAGGCAGACGAGGGCCTGCCCTCATGGAAACTACATTTTGGAGGGCTGAACAGGTGGAAGTAAGGAGAGAATTCCCTATACACTGTGAGAAATAAGCCAGAGAGACAGACAAGGAGCTGAGCCGGAAGCACAGAGGAAGCCTGCCTGGTGATGGAGCGTGCCTCTCTGAGAAGGTGACATTTAAGCTGAGACCTGACAGAACAATTTCCTCTCTTAGGTAGCTGTATACAGGAGGACAGAATATTCTGGAAGGAGAGAAGGTAACAAAGATCTTATAGGGGAAAAAGCCTAGGTACCCTGGGTCACAACAGGTAAGGGGAGGCTGTGGTACTAGCTGGGGAAACAGGCAGCTTCAGGACCAAAGAGGGTCTCCTGGTTCATGGCAAATTGTGCAATTTATTCCAAGAGGGGTGGAAACCCATGGGAGGCTTTTAAGCAAGGGAGCAACAAGAGCTAGTTTCAATTTTTAGAAGATCATAGTTGGTGCCAGAATAGAAATCACAGGATCAATTAGAAGGTCATCATATTATATATATATATATATATATATGTTGGGAAAGTCATGACATATTTTTTCTTTGAAAAACATAGGGAAAAATGTGTCATGACTTTCCAACAACCCAATATATCATGATAAAGAAATGGAATTAACAATAAATCAGGAAAAAAAAATCATCCCATTTCATCCCAGGCTGTTTTTCTGAATTTATGAAAGGGTTATACAAAGTCATATAAAAAATTAAAAATGGGTAGACTATAAAGAGGCAGTTAGTATGGGAACTCCCACTCCTTCACCCTGTCTCCCTTCCCCTCTTTGCCCTTCCTCCCTCCTACTCTCACATACATCCCTTCTATTTTTTTTTTTTAAACTAAGTACTTTGGACATCTTTTTTTCAAGATTTATTTATTTATACAAGAACTGGGGTTCAGTCAGATGCACGGGAGGGTGAGAGAATTCACCAGAGACAGAGCGGGGAGCAGAACAGGCAGATAGACTGAAGACATTGCTGAGGGGAGCAGCAGATGAGGCAGGAGAGGTCTGCTGTGCCATGTAGGAATCTCCCTGCCAGCTGGGAATTGAACCCATGCTTCAGAGGCTGAGGACAGCTTCACAGCGCCACCGGGGAGGCCCCCACCCCTTCTTCTAAAGAAAGCAGCTCAGCTTAAGTGAAAAGAGGTTCACTATTAGTCATAATAAAAGAGATACAAATCAAAATAATAACAAGGTTCCTTTTTTCACTTGTCAGATTGCTAATATTCAGGTTGTCTGTTTTCCAGAGTTGACTAGCGCTGGGGCCAAAGGGCCCTCCCATATGGGGTTAGAAGGGGTGGGGGCTGTTAGTGTGATCTTTTGGACTCCAGTTTAACCGCATTTTTCAAAAGTTCAGACCCACACGCTGTCTGACCCAGCAATTTCAGGTCTGCGTGTATCCACTAAGGTGATGCAGCTAGCCTGCTCCTCAGGTCGTGTTCCAGGCACTCTTACAAATGGAAACAGTCCCAACAAATAACCATCCACAGGGATCTGGTTAAATAATTTCTGGTTTATCCATCAAGGAAACTTTCTTCCATAAAAATAATGAGGTGATCTCTATGTACTGCTGTGTAACCTTGGCCAAGTGCACTGTTACATGAAAAAAATTAAAAAGCAAGGCGTAGAATAGTGGAAAAGACACACTCACCTATTGTCATTTGTAGAGAATACAGTTCTGGAAGGGTCTATGGAAACAGTTTTATAAATGGGTTGCTTTAGGGAGACTTACCGATCCTTTTATACTCTTTGGGGTGTTTGGGTTTTTAAAGTAGACTTTATAAGTATAACAAATATTTGTTATACTTCGCTAAATTTAACAAAAGTATGTTAAAAAAAAAAAAAAAAAAACAAAAGGTTAGCAATCATTATCCCAGGCACAGAAATGGCCATGAGCCCTGATAATGAAGAGTAGAGATGATTAAGAACACCTTGCTTTTGCAGGAAGAGGCGCCATTTGCAAACTGAGGTCTTCGGACACAGCCTCATTGAATTCTCAGCAGCACAGTCCATCACCCCCATGTTACTGACCACACACAGAGCCCCATGTTAGGGGAGCTCGGGGTCTGTGTCACTGTTACTCCCTGCGTACAGGGTTTTTCTCTATTCTCATGATCAAACTGGAAGGGAATAGTTGACAAAGGCAAGTCTTCTGTTTGCCAGTGCTGCCAATAATGGCAGGAGTTATGAATGGCTAATTCATTGCAGCCCACCCTGTCGTCTGCTGTGTGACCTTGGCTGAGTCGCTTCCACTTTGTGGTGCCTCTCAAATTTAATCTCTCCCGGCTATATATATCTTTGATTTATGCCAATTGTCTAGCCGAGGTAATTGAATTTTCAGGGCGGTGCATCATAACTCATTCCCAAAAGTTTGAAACACAGGTTCATGGACAACATGGAAAGAATTGGGGTCGTGAGCAACTCTGTAAATCACCTGTTGTACAGAGCACAGGGTCCCGCCCTTGGGCGGACTGTTAGGGAAGGAGCAGGAGGCAGGGCCGGCCTGGCTTCCCTCTGCTCCGGTCCAGTCTTCCCTTCGCAGGACCCTGGCTCTCCTCCAGAGCCCGGTGCTCACTGGGTTCCCCACGTATGTTGCTATCACCCCATCTTCTTGCGGCAGCAGCTGTTTTCCCTCTCATGTCTGGAGCCCACAGCGGACTCGAAACTTTGTGTGTGTTGACAGATGAACCAATACCAAGCCCGGCTCATGGGCTTGTGCTGCTGTGCAGGACGTCTTGTCTGAATGGTAGATTTTGGAGTCTTAAGACTTCTGGACTCTTAGAAGCATAGGGTGGTGACAGAAGGAAGGATAAAGGTGTAGAAATGGAGTAGAGGCAGCATGGGTGTTAAATCTGTGAGCTACAGAAAGACACCCTGGGTTTGGGTGGTCCTGCTTAATTGGGGTTGCATGGTCAGTGCTGCGGTGTGGATAGGGTTCTCCTGCCCCTGCAAGGCTGCTCAGTGCTCCCTCCCCATGCCAGTATCTGCATCTCTGTGCCCAAGGGTTCGCCTCCCACAGCTGCAGAGAGGGCACTGCCTGTAGAGTAGGGGGGAGGCTCCAGGAATGAGCTCTTCCTTCCTCCACACAACAGCTCTGAGCCAACTGCTCTAGGAATTAATATTCATTTGAATCACATGAAATGACTATTTCTGTAGGTCAAAAATAATTGAGTAGTGGCAATTTTGTATGGTTCAATCTAACAGAAATTCCCAAACTCCCTTGTCCTTCAGGTGGGGATATTTGTCAGGGGGTAGTCTGTCCACTCCCCATGGTCTCTCCACTGGATTGTTCTAATTACTGCATTGTAGCTGGCTTAACACCCTTTGTTGTTTGAGGTCCTTTCCTGTATGACTTCCTCACATCTCTATGGATATTTCCTAGATCACTGGCCAAATTCACCATGTGGACTTCCATTTTGGTCTCTGGGTTTGCCGCTGTAACCTAATCCTTTCAGCGTGTCCTATTTGTAGAATGGCCTTGTTGTCAAGATTAAATGCACCTGGCACACATACATGCAAACTGGTATCAGCTGTTAATGATTCTCAAGTCCAACAGTTACTACTACTCTAAAAAGAAGCCCAGAGAGGGGAGGGGGCTTCTCAGTGTCACTTCCTAGGTTAGTGTGACCATCTCATTTTTGACTAAGCCCAGGGAACGTGATACCAAAGCAGACAGAGTGCTGGGTGGCCCCTTCCCCACTTTTCTGGAGCATGATGGGATGTATGGGGTGACTAGTCAGGACTCTCCGTGTGCAGACCTGCCCAGATGCACCAGGTGTTCCTGTGCCGGTGCACAAGTCTTTGCTGTCCATGGCGCGGGCACATGGAAGGGTGGACTGCCCAGACCATGGCCACAGACAGAACTGGGCGGGAGTCAAGAGTCTTGGTCCCGATGTCACATTTGCCCCTAAGATTCTACCCAGGCTGAGCTGCTGTTGTCCAAATGGCAGAATTGGGTGGAAGCCTCGTCAAATGTCAGCTTCAAACCAGTTGGAGAAACGAGGCAGATGAGCATTTTGAAGCAGTCTCTGATCCAGTAGAACTTTGGATTCAATCCCTCATGAAAAGATATCGCGGGCCTCCCTGGTGGCGCAGCGGTTGAGCGCTGGGTTGCGAAGCTGCCCGCGGCCTCTGCGGCGCCGGTTCAATCCCCGGCTGCTCCCCGGCCACCGGAGGAGGGTCCCGCATGGCGCGCAGACCTCTCCTGCCGCCCACTGCTCCCCTCAGCAGTGTATTTCGGTCCTTCTGCCTGCTCTGCTCCCCGCTCTGGCTCTGGTGAATTCTCTCACCCTCCCGCGCTTCTGACTGTACCCAGTGCATGTATAAATAAATAAATCTTAAAAAAAAAAAAAAAACAAAAAACTCATTGTAGATCATTCCAGGTTCTAGATCTATGAGCAGTTCTCCTGAGGGCACAAACTGGGTCTTCTCTCTCCGCTCTCCACCCCATTGTGTTCTAGATACGCCAGGTAGGAAAAGGGTGTGGGGTAAGTAGGGGGGGGCGAAGCTGAGGCTTTTCCATCTTCCCACTGCACATGCGCACTCGGCCAAACGACGTGGCGTGCGTGTGTGGCGCGGCGTGCGTACGTGGCGTGCGTGCTGTGTCGCCGCGCGGTGCAGTGAAGTGGGGGGCGGGGGAGTGGAGTGGAGTGGGCGGAGGAGTGCGGCGGCGAGTGGCAGAGCCTTCGGAGCACGGTGACGCCTGAAAGCGGAAACAGGGCGGCCAGAACCGGTAATGGACCCACGCGGTGGGGGTGGGTTGCGCGACAGGGAACTTGGAGACAGGTGGTGGTATCCTGTGAAGTTCCTTGTGAATAGTTTCCTC